CAGCAAATAATCTGAGTCCAGCAGGACCTGTAGACTAACAGCAGCTCATTCTGTCTGGATTTATGGTGTTTTGAGTTCACAAACTGATCATTAATTTTTTTAAAAGTTGAGGACATTACATTAGCTTGTAGCTGCGCTGCTGATCAGCGCTGTTTATTAGAACATGACTGGACTTGTGGGGACATGGTCACACGTGGGGTCTGTGTTGGTGGTTCTTGCTGTAATGAATAAAATAATTAGGGAGTCGTCCTGGAACCGGAAGGTTGCTGGTTTGATCCCCCATCCAGCTGCCTCAGTTGTTGTGTCTTTGGGCAAGACACTTCAGCCCTAATGCCTCTGATGTGTCCCATCAGTGTATGAATGTGATTGGCACTGATTAGTCTCCATAGAAGATTGTACATGTTAGCTCTGTAGAGACCTAACAGAGTGCTGTGTGAATGGGTAAATGAGGACACAGATTGTGAAGAACTTTGAGTGTCCTGGATGGATAGGAAGGTGCTATATAATTACAGTCCATTTAGGTGTTTTTTCGTGTTTTTCAAATCACGTTTTTTCGTGTTTTTCAAATCACGTTCAGCAATTGCAAAAACTGGAGAGTTTTTTTAACATCAGTCAATGTAAGCGGTGTAATCGTCACCCAAGAAGCTGTTCCAACAATAACATTAGCTTGCTAATGCGCATAGCGGTGCTGTGAGGAAAAGTGTTGCGGAGTAACAGTTCACTGTAACGATACATCGATCTATATCGACATATCGATTTGAATGGTTCATGATTCAGTTATATCGAGGCAAAATGAAAATATCGATCTATATCGTCATCATATTCTCCACGGGAATCGATATCATGTGCCCATCTAACACAGTCATTGTGTTATGGGCATTAAATCGATCGCAGACATGTGAATTTAATTGAATCGAAATCATATCATGACAGACTTTGTGATATCGAGAAATATTGAATTGTCATTCAAACATATTGATGTAATATCGTATCGTGATAAAGCTGGTGATTTACACCCSTAGTACGTACGTGTTCAGGCTTTTTAAACCGGTACGTCAGTATTCAGAAAATTCATACAATAAAATAAAAACTGTTTTTTGGTATAAAATGGTATACCGCCCAGCACTACTTTGGAGTTAAAGCATATCAAGATTTGTGTAGCTATTTAACCTACACAAAAATGGCTCCAGCTCAGTAGAGTTGACACATACTGAGGTCAAACTTGGGGTGGTAGTAGCTGAGAGTCGTTGACAGCAGATACCCTGWGCACTCACAGATCACATTATTTTCACTGTTTATGAAGGGTCTTAGATGTAAAGTATCTAAAATGTAAATAGTTTCAGCATGTGTRACCTTTTGTATGCTGGTCTCTCTGCAGATCCGGTACATTTCCCAGACTCAGGGCCTYCCAGCAGAGTACCTGCTGAGTGCAGGAACCAAGACCAGCCGCTTTTTCAACAGAGGCCCTGACTCCAGCTACCCGCTCTGGAGACTGAAAGTCTGTTTCCTGACAGATTGAAGAAGGTGAAATATGAGCAGAATGTTAACTCTTCAGTCTGTTTGTATTTCAGACTCCTGCAGAGCACGAGGCAGAGATGGGCATCAAGTCAAAGGAGGCAAGAAAATACATCTTTAACTGTCTGGATGATATGATGCAGGTGTGTTTAGATTTATGGAGGTGTAAAGTCAGAGGAATCAGGGGTGTCGGAGCGCTCTGCTGATCTCTGAGCTCCTGCAGGTGAACATGATCAACCTGGAGGGCACCGACATCCTGGCAGAGAAGGCCGACAGACGAGAGTTCATAGACCTGCTGAAGAAGATGCTGACGCTGGACGCCGACAAGAGGATCACGCCCATGAAGACCCTGAACCATCCTTTTGTCACCATGACGCACCTGCTGCACTTCCCCCACAGCTCCCAGTGAGACGAGTCGACTAAATCTGCATTCAGTTTAAAAAAAAATGCTGAGTCAGCATTCACGTTTCTGCTTCCCTGTTTTGAGTTCAGCATCCTTTCATCCTTTCAGCCATTCATGTATCAAAACATTGGCTTGTTCGAAACATTACAGCTGTGGCCTTTAATATTTTTATATCTTTCAAATTGTTTAACTTGAAGTAGAAAACTTTACTGTTTTGCAAACTCTTTAAATTCTTGAAAAATATTTTAAAATCTTCAGCAAAACAGTAACTTAACGTTAAAAAACAAGCAGTTTTCCTGAAAAATATATATTTTATTTTTTTAGCCACTTCAGTAGCAATCAAAACTGAATGTTAGTTTCTTAATTTCTGCATCATCAGTGGCTTTTTTTTTTAATTCTTGAAAAATATTTTAAAATCTTCAGCAAAACAGTAACTTAACGTTAAAAAACAAGCAGTTTTCCTGAAAAATATATATATATTTTTAGCCACTTCAGTAGCAATCAAAACTGAATGTTAGTTTCTTAATTTCTGCATCATCAGTGGCTTTTCTTTCTTTAAATTCTTGCAAAATATTTAAAAATCTTCAGCAAAACAGTAGCTTAACATTAAAAATAAGCAATTTTCCTGAAAAATATTTTTAACAACTGCTTTCCTGGTTTTAGCTACTGTTCCTATCATAGCTATCAGCTTCTGTTTTGCTTATTTTTATGTTTAGTTGCTGTAATGGTTTTAGCTTGTATCCGTAGCTTTTTTAGCTTCTAGTCTTTTTTTTTGGTGGCTTTAGCTTTGGCTGAAATGTGAATTCTTACAGTTAAAAACAGACTCATTCAGTGCTCAGCTTCAATGCCTTTTCACAGAATACTGAATGTTAGCTGATGTTTAGCTGTTGTATGTTCGTTGGCTGCCACGTTTAGCTGTGCAGCTCCAGTATTCTGCTGCGTTCCTGACCCATTACGTTTTATTTTCCGGTCTTTGCAGCGTGAAGTCTTGCTTCCAGAACATGGACATATGCAAGCGTAGATGCAGCGCCTTTGAGAATGGGAAGAACATGTTTGCCAGCAGCAACACGCCAAGTGCAGCCGCCAACCTGACGGTGACTTTCAGCAGCCAGCTGAACCAACACAACCAGGTGAGAACCTCCTCCAGCACCTGCTTATGGCTGATCAGGTTCTGCAGCGTCGTGTGGCTCGACTTTTCTCTGACACTTTTCTGTGTACAGACTTGGATAAAGAAGAAATGTTTTTGTTCTCCGCAGCTGAGAGCTCAGTGGGTTTGGACCACCTGGTGGTTTTTTTTACTGGCAGCTGCTTCAGATCTTAGTGAATTTTAAAGTAATATGTGACCCATCTTAACGAAATGAGGATTACCGTATTTATTCAAGTATAATATGTAAAATTTAATCCATAAAATCATCCATAAAGATGGGGGATAGTATTATACTCGGATAAATAATTTTACTTATGTATTTTAACTTAAATATCGGCTACATTCACAGGATGCCTGCGTCCGGAAATGAGGCGCGTCGTAAAAAGCAGTTGAAACGAGCTCACCTCTGACACTCCTCCGTGATTCAGAGCGAGATAATTACAGATCCAGGCAGGAGACATGATGTGAAAAAAAGCGGGGAAAGTAGTCCTGCAGCTCAGTAATAATAACAAACTAATGACATTAGTGTGTGACCGAGCCGCTCCTGGAACAACAACAAACACATATTCATCTGTAATGGCTGCTGTCTACCGGTGTTCTGAAAAATTTTGTATTCCTGAAAAAAGTTTCCCCACCAGAGGGGGCGCTCACGAGTAGGAAGTAATCTGCTTTTCCCCCACAAGATGGTCCAAATCTCATCTGAAGTCTCTGACTTTTGTGTTGGCGCCTCC